TCACGCAGTATTCTTTTAATGTTCAGTAATTTCCTATACCCATAATTCGAAATCTTTTCCATTAATCTTGTTGATCGATGTTTAGGGTAAACTTTGGTGCAATAAAACTTTTGAAATATTTAGCGCATGGGTTTCGCAGAATATTAGAAAATATTTTCAAAAAGGGGCTGATAAAATCGGGTCATTATTGTATATATTATTTCTTTAAAAAAACATTCCACCGGCTGGAGCAGGAATCGAACCCTCACTCCATGGCACACGCAAAATAGCTGTTAGACGGGTGACGCCACCAACCACTCGACCACGAAGACCACTTTGACATGAAAATGTGAAATGTCGTCATCGAAACATAATCCAAAAGAATTATTTGTTTACTCTTGTTTCTTGCGTGACAGTAGCTCAATGTAGTGCAGTTCTTACGTGGTGTTAAGTGTGTTCCACTGAATTTCATTAAGCAAAATGCTGTCATATAAAAATATCGTTGAAGAATATTTTGCGTCTGGTCGAGATAAAAACCGTTTACTTGACTTTGTATCTAGGGCACTGTCGAAAGCACCTGCGACTGTTGCGCAAGGTGTTAAAAGCTGGATTGGTCAATGACCCACAGTAAGGATCGGTTCTTTAAGAAGAATGCAGAGTGGCTTGAAAGCATATTCGATGTAAGAATCCCTGGGCTTGCTTAATTTTAGAAAGCAGCATAAATTAACGAAGAAATGTTTTTAATACGATACCGTCGAACATTAAAAAAATTAACAGTTCGGAAAAATTGTACCTGTTGAGCGAAGTGCTAAATTTTCAGAAAACAACGGATTCCAAACCAATTTAAATTGAACTTGAATGAAAATCAGTTAAAGCGTGGAAATGCGTTAATCTAAAGAAAGACATACTACTGATCAAATCTGTTTTTGTTCTAGTTACTAAATAATCAATAGCATCAACCGCGATTAGAAGAAGATTTGTCTTTGATATTTGTATGAATATTTTATAAAAATCCTAAACAAAAACAACCGACTCTAAATTTTACGAAAAATGCTTGAATATAATTCATCATCAATTATTTTCTCAGGTCGAAGACCAACCCTCAGGATCCAGGCCTTCGAAAAATACGCGGGTCCATTCAAGGAAACCCAAAGATCCCTCGTCACAATCATCTCCTATTTCACCTCCTTTTGCCACTCCGGATTTGGATACCAGTTCCAACAGTCAGCGAAGACCGTCAACCCTAAAGCCTCGAGGTCGAAAGCGCAAGGAGTTTAGCCAGTTGACAAGATTTTCGAAATACAGACGCAGTATCGGACTTTTCAAAGAACAAGGTCCTGATAACTTGCTGTATTCAGCCAAAATTGCTGCCATAAAGGCTGCTTATCCAGCAACTGCTCAAATCTTACAGCACTTGTTGAGCGGCGGTGAGGTTTGGGCAAAAGAGACCATCGAATCCGTTGACGCTGTTCGTTGAACATCTCTGTGTTCGGAGGAGTCATCTTTGGCGATAAAATCAAAACTTGGGTTAAGTAAAACCAAATATGGAGAGCTGTCTCGATTCACTAAGAAGCATCTAGGTATGACAGTTTTATTAACGTATTTATAAAAAAAAAACTTAGTAGAACAATTTTTTGTTTAAAATAGGTCAAATTTCTAAATCTTTGATCAATTTTAGAGATGTGCATTGTTATTAGTCCCTTCATATTGTATTGCAATTTTGCAGCCCTGGAAAAAAGTAGCTGAATGTTGAAACGCCATAATTCCACCGTTCTCAACTCCAAACCGAGAAAAAGGATACTTATCATCAAGCGTTTCAATCCTCGATATGGTTATATGCGATTTGACACGGATTCTACAACTGGATGATGTAGCAGACAGGATTTCAAAGTTAAACCAGAAAGTGTTGACTTGTAAATTGCATGTCACGGCTGGTCCGGACTCTGTTACAGGTTTTACGCACTACAACCAGACTGGCTTTTTAAAAGAGAATGATTCTCTTCTCTCCGAGCATTTTATGAGCCTGTTGTTAGTATCCGAAAGAGGAGAGGATATTTGGCGGAACCCGAATCCCCGGCCCCAGTCAGATTCGTTCTGCAGAATACGCTCTATGAATTGGACTAAAGAGACAAACTCGCTTACCAAGTCCATGTTTGAGCAGTTTTTTGCAGAGGTTGACCCTCTGATCAACTTTGCCCAAGAAATCATCCGTCTAAATAGTCAGGATATTGAGATACAGCAGCACAAATATATTCACTTTCAATAATCACTAGCGCCACCTAACGGAGAAATTCCGAATTGTTCTGTCCATCATCCAACAGTCCATGACCTCCTGATCAACCTTGCCGAAGAAATCATCCGTCTAAATAGTCAGGATCTTGAGATACAGCAGCGCAAACATATTCACTTCGAATGCTCACTAGAACCGCCTAGTGGAAGAATTCCGAATTGTTCTGTCCATCATCCAACAGTCTTTGACCTCCTGATCAACTTTGCCCAGTAAATCATCCGTCTAAATAGCCAGGATCTTGAGATACAGCAGCACAAATATATTCACTTTAAATAATCACTAGCGCCACTTAGCGGAGGAATTCCGAATTGTTCTGTCCATCATCCAACAATCCTTGACCCCCTGATCAACTTTGCCGAAGAAATCATCCGTCTAAATAGTCAGGATCTTGAGATACAGCAGCACAAACATATACACTTCGAATGCTCACTAGCACCACCTAGCGGAGGAATTCCGAACTGTTCTGTCCATCATCCAACAGTCCTTGACCTCTTGATCAACTTTGCCGAAGAAATCATCCGCCTATATCATCGGTATCTTGAGATACAGCATTCAAATCATGCAAAATAGGAGATTTTAGGGCAAAACTGTGAAAAACCCCAACTTACCCTATCGTGCCCAAGATGAAACCCACTTCAATCGATTCCTGAGACTTTTATCTATAAGATTGACTGTTTTTTACTATCTTGTTCCAGCGAGCACCGAAGTTATTGAATTTTAACACATTAACGGCTCGGGAGTGACAAGATGTGACCTTGTAAGGACCCTACTTTTCAGTAGCAAACCGTTAGCACTTGGTCAATTGTCATTTACCAAACCAAACTCACTTGAACAATACCGAACTACTTTTCACGGTACAATCACACGGAATTTTTATTGCTTACACTCAACCTAATTTTTTTATGTTACAAAAATCGAAAACTGTGGCGCCGGTGGTGTAGTGGTAAGCGTGATTATCTCTCACCCAGCAGGCCTGGGTTCAATCCCAGTCAGCGCCGCCGGGATGTTCTGAGGCATAACATCTCTGATCACGCCTTCCTTCGCAAGGGAAGTAAAGCCGTTGGTCCCCGGTTCATGCGTTGAAGATGGGTCGATAGGTAGGGTCCAGGTGTGGGAGCTGCCTCCCTGGCGTCGGTAGTTATTGGTGCTCAGCACGGAAAACAAGATCGACGGAAAACAACTCAAATCCGTATCTCTTATGCATGATGTACTAGAGATAACAGAGCCCACCATCGTATTCAGTTAATGTAAATTACATTCATTGACAAACGATAACAAGTTCTGCCCACTTTAGTTTGTCGTGTTTGTCGTGCACGAAATGAACGTAAATGATTTTCCATGCCTTGTCGGAACTTTGCCAAATACCATGAAACTATCTAAAAGTTTCTAAATTTGAAGATCTGATCATTCTCTAGGAGGTATTCCATTGATTTTATATAATTAAACATTTGTCTGTACCTCATAAATAAAGCTAAGAACATTGCGAAATCCTTCAAAATGGGTATTTAATAAAATTCGCAATATGTCTAAGCTAAGATGTCTTCAATTGAAAAAGACTTTAGGCTGCAAAAATCGTTTTGATGCATAATCAAGATAGCAAAAATGGCCTGGGGTCATATTGACCCTAAGATACAGACAAATGGTTGATCAAACTGCCCTGAATTACTCTAATCAGCTTAGTTTAATTTTTGGTAAATTTTTGAAGTTCTTGAAATTCCCATGATAATTATATAACATTCTTAAAATACTTTCACATTTTCCTAATAATAATATAGCTTCCCTTAATAAAAGAAATTCTCTCGGTGCTTTGCTGAAGATTCCGAAATTTTCCTGAATTTCTCGAAACATCTGTAAGCCTTCTGCAATTTGCATAAAATTATTTGAACTACCCTTTAGTTCTCGTCCAAGTCAGAGAAGCTCCCTTTAAGCTCACACTTCCACAATATCTTGGTTCTGATATGAAATTGAGCTCTCCTAAAAACATTGAAACTTTTCTGAAGTTTTCTGTACCTCTATGAACGTCCCGAAATATTTCTGAAGTTTTCATATTTTTTCTGCACTTTGTTCTCTGAAGGTCTCTAGACTTTCCTGCTCTCGGCACATCTGAATTCGTTTTTTTTTTTTTTTCATTGAGCTGTCCTGAATTTATCTAATCTCACGATTATACATTTTAAACTTCTCCAGAAGTCTGGACTTTGCTGTCTTTATGGGGTGTTTACATCTATGTGGATTTGCTAGCGCAGTACACTAGCCAACTAGCACGAATTTCAGTTGGTCTTGAAATCTCGTGCTGGTAGACGCTGATGCTGGTGAGCTATTTTCCTAGAAGCTGACTCATTAGCGCTAGTGCAATACCATACATGTAAACGCACCATTAAGATCGCTGTAATTCACCAATGACCAAACGATCAAGCTTTTCTGAGGTTCTTTGGACCTTCTGATTTCTCGGCATATTCCTGAAATTCCAATCTTATCACACTCGTGTTCCGGCTTAACGACATCGGAAATGTTTTCCCAAACCATTTCAAATACTCTCCACCATGCGATGCGATTCCGTATAGGCAATTGCCATTACGGAGAAAAAGCACATCACGAGGTGTCATTTATCAAGCCCAATCATTCCTGAATACAATCGTGCAACTGTGGGCATACAAAAGTTAGCACCCAAATGCATTTTTATTTTTCTGATGCTAAATTTCACGTTCATAAACCGTCTGATTATCTTTTTTAGGTGTGCGAATCTCCCCATCGTTATACGCGTGGCTTGCTGTGATGGTGCTTCCGGTCAATTCAGCCCTGAACCCGGTGCTCTACACGCTGACAACGGCACAGTTCAAGCAACAGGTGGGTTTGTTGTGGCCGTCGTGCTTGCTCAAGTTGTGGTGGCTGCTGAATGGTCTATAGAAATGTGCTTTTCATTTTAGCTTACGCGGTTCTTCTACTCACTACCATGTGGCGCTTCGCCCGAGCTGAATGGATACGACTCAGCGATAGATTCGAGGTAGGTTGGTTTTTATCCAGATGAAAGCTTGCCGGGTGGTAAAATGCTTAAAGCTATGAATGGGCATTGAGCAGTAACAGTTGTTTGGTTCGAATCGGATGTGGAAACTTGTTCACTTGTATACAGAGCTGGAATAAGGGCCTATCTGCTTGATCAATTCGCTTCATCGACTTTCTGTTTCATTAATAACTCAGCTGCAGTTATCAAAATAGAAAATCCATGACGAGAATATATCAAAGTGTATAGTTTTGTTCAATGTGAAGGGATCTTCACTTCAGTCGTACATATTTTAAAGTGTTTTAAACTTATTTGAGCTGAACGTGAAGTTGGATGCAAATCGATCTAACTCCTCTGCGACTCCGACTCTTTGACTCCAATTATACGAAATACAACTACTTTAAAAAAAAATCATTTTTTTTAGCAGTTTTCAACAATTTTTAACACAATCTGTCGTCATGTCTAACAAAATCGGCTACAAATTTTTGCAATGAAAATGAACATTTATTAATTCAAAATTCATCTCAGGATGGAGTAAAACACTAAGGTATGTGCACCAGCTATGACTATACGTTCCTATTATGGTGTGTTCCTATTATGGCCTATAGGAATTCCTGTAGGCCATAATAGGAACACTCCATAATAGAAACACACCATAATAGGAACGTAACCATAACTATAGCTTAGAAAAATGGTAAATTTCATACAAATTTCATAACATTTGTATTGGCATTTGTCGCTACTACTGTTATAAAACAAACCTGGTCACAACTTTCCAATCATATTTTCCAATCAAATGGTAAAACATTTAAACAAAGTTTGCCTTATCTTACAATAAAATGATCTATATTTTTAAATGATATTGACAAGATTTTGAAAGACACATTTAACAACTGTTTACAAATTTGATCACAATTTTTCTCCCACTTCGTCAAATTTGCTTTAGTACCGATCATAATTTTAGAATAAATTGATCATGTCTTCTTTACCAACAACTTGCCCATAAATGTTAATGAGATTGATAAAAAAAAATCCAGAGAGTGTTCGCAGTTTTCATTTCGAACATTTCAAAACTTTGTCACAATTTCAAAAGAAATTGGTTGCAGCTTTGCATAAAATTAATCACAAGCATTGCATTATTTGAATTCAATCATGATTTAAAAAAAAAATAACAGGAATAGACATAACTTTTTGATGAAAATGATTTCAGTTTTAAAATAAAAACATAGTGCAAACATAATTGATCTCAACTATAATTTTATATTTTTTCAAACAACAAACTGTTAACAAAAATATCAAAATTTTCACATTATTTTGTACATTTCATGGATTACAAAAGTTTTTTTTTTTTGCATAATTTTGGTAGATTTACAGTCTCCCTAACTTGATCTCTTCCTAATTCGATGAAAATGCAGGCTACTTTGACCTCTTTGTCCATATTATTTTTCATGTTCCCTTAACTATCGAGCTACGAAGAGTTTACTGTAATACACTTTTTATTGTTTTGCAATATAGCTTTAATTTTTCAAACCATCCCTTTACTGGAAAATAATCAGTTTTCCGCTTTAAAAGAGTTCCGTTTAACAAGGTGATTTAAATGTTTCCGTGGAATGCTTCCAACATTGACTAAAAGTAAATTGGTACGCATAAAAAGACCTGTAATTCGTGATTAAATAAGTTTTAAAAGTCCATTAATGGTTGCTGTGCAGTATTTTTATTAAAACTTCAAAGTTACAGCATTAGATGGTTACATATCTCCAGTTCTTGAACCGGAACTCCATGAAATCTCGAACCGGAATCAGCGTATTTCTTCCGTTTTGACCGCATTTGCTGCATTTCCTTGACTGCTCCACCGCTTCGTCGAAGTCGCTGCTTTGAAATTGCCCAGTATTTTTCAATTGGTTGAAATTCCGGACAATTTGAAGGGTTCATTAGCTTGGGACAAAATCGATCTTGTTGGCAGCATACCACTCCAGAACCACCTTGGAGTAGTGGCAGCTGGCCATTTCGGGCCAAAAGATGACTTTGCCCTTATGCTTGCATGGATGAACGGCAATACATTGTATTCTTCGATGTAAACTTGGGATTCATCGTCGAGGATTTCACGAATGGTTCCGTTTTCAGGTCACAACTGCAAATCGTTTGCCAAATCAACTCGCGAACTTGTCGGCCAACACGAACTTGAATCTTCCCGGCACATCCCCACGTCCAGCCGCGTTGTAAAACTTTAGACCGGGAAGCTGCTTAAATCGAGTTCGACGTATGTTTCGTCTTCGATCAAAGTGCAGGCCTTGTGTTTCATCATAACACGGTCGTACAAGAGCCTTGCACGCTTTTTGGTCACGGAATTCTGTTTCATGTGCCGGTTCGGATGCTTACTGGCTTTGTACGCAGAGATGCCAGATCTACGGAAATCCTAAGAGGCAAAATCTACGGAATTCCTAACAGTTTATACGGATTTTTTCTTCAGTGTACGTCTCCCTTCAGAATCGAATTTTACAATCTAGAGTATAATCTGATTCTGAAGGGAAAGTAGCATAAAGTATAATACACTCCTGCAACTTGTCAACCGTTTTCTTGCTCACTTATCCGCTTTTTGATAGAATTGGCGTTGACGGCGACTCTGTAGCTCTTCCCTCTTCTGTAATATCCCGCAAACAAACGTCAGACTGTGCGTGGAACATGGCGGCCTTTGTACTATCCCTTCACTCCGCCGAAAGTTCCCATAATATACTGTCAATCTTTGCTTGAAGAGAAAATTTTTCAACGGTGCCGTGTGAAGGCGAATAAAAGTCGTGTCGAGACCAATCTTGTAAGCGGTCACCGTAGTCGACACATTTTTTGTGATAATCGACTGGCTTTGCTTCCGACACTTGCAAAACAAGCTTTCAAATTACAGTACCAAACTAAAATGTCATACGACAGGCTCTGTCATACGACACTGTCGCCGAAGGCCGTCACGAATGTATGTATTTTAGTATTTTCTAATAATAAGAGCTGCTGATGTTGTGCTTGTTTGAATCTGAAAATAGCAAGCAACGATGTCCTAGCAATAACATTTCTGATCAGAAATGGTTTAATTTACACCAAATTGAGGAATTAGAACGAAATCAAATATGTCATATGATAGTTATTTGATAATTTTCTTTTTGCTCGAATGTTGTTCTACCGTTTGCGTTGTGTAAGTGAGACGATGCTCTCTTCCCCGTCAGCTCGATGATGACCTTCAACGTGTTCATCAAAAAAGCACGTAATCCATAAGTCGTCGAACTTGTCCGGCTTTATAAAGGAAACTACGGTTAAAGCGTGGATTTCTTATTAGATGACGACACCACTGTACCGCCGCTACGGGATCACAATTGATCAAATTGCCATATATGGTCTTGAAACCCCTGCAGTGGATCCTCAAATTGAGCTGGAAACCATTGCCGTGGATAATGAGACAGAATTTCTGCATGGGAAACAGGAAACGCTCCTTTGGAATGAGGACAAATGCATGGAGATCGCTCCCGCGCAAAACAGGGTTCCTCTTTCATTAATATATGACGAGCACGGCGAAGAGATAGTTTTTCCTGCCATATGTTTCGGCCATCCACGAAAATTCAAGCCAGGGGTTCAGGTGACATATTTAATAATGGCATTCAGTGAAACTCGTCGTCAAGACAGGCGTGTGGCTAAACCACAACATTTGTTGTATATGACAATGAAAGTTGTTCGCTTTAGAGTTTCTGAAGGCTTGCAATGCACTTTTAAGTGCACGGGGACCGCAAACATTACACGTGTCAACCTTAAGGATCACCTTATTCATGGAGCAGTGCATTGAGCGAAATCTATCCTTCCTCAAATCAATACCGAATTCAGTACAGTATTGGCAACAAAGGAAGAGAAATTTGTTCACCATGATGCGACAATTGGGAAAGCTTACGATGTTCCTCACACTCAGGGCAAATGAGATGAAGTAGCCCCATTGTCAGAAGGACACAATGGCAATGACTTAACAGATCCAATCCAGGAATTAACTGCACTACAAAGAGCAACTCTGGTCAATGATGATCCAGCCACGTGCTGTGTGTACTTCAACAAGCTGGTTGACACGATTGAATTTCAGCACCGTGGAAGTCCTTACGCGCACATCTAGCTATGGCTGAACAAGGATCTTCGGGAAGTAATCAGTGAAAGTATGCCAAAAACTACAGGTGCAACAATATCATGGTATTCATGCCTGTACTACCATCGGCGCTTTTCAAAGCCACCAAGATTTTCCAAAAGAGTTAAATTTCTGAACATGTCCCAACTAAAATTCATATCAAAAGCTTCTTTTCAGGGCAATCATAGTCATACTATCTTTAGTATGACTATGATTGCCCTGAAAAGAAGCTTTTGACATGAATTTTAGTTGGGACATGTTCAGAAATTTTAACAGAGAGAACCAGGCTCAAATTCATATTCCTACACAAAAGACAAGTCCTGCTGCAGTTAACAAGTAACATTTATTATATAAGACCACGTAGTCCGACGTCACCTTTGCGTACAACCCCAAAGGGCTGTCCCTAGTAGTTTTTCAAAAGTTCTTTCATCGATTTATCATTTAACGTAAAATATCACCTTAGAACTAAAAAAAAAATATCACTCACGACACGACTAAAAAAATCCGTAGAAATCCGTAGATTTGAATAAGTCTACGGAATTGCATAGAAAAAAAATCTGGCATCTCTGTTTGTACGACTTGTATCCTTCCCTGGAAAGGATGGTCCGCACCGTTTGAAAGTTGGCGTTGTACCTTTCGACCACATCTCGGATCGAAAGACCGGGGTTGGCTTTAACGCACCTCAACACCTTGCTGCGCAGCTGACGGTCACTGGTTGCAGTTTTTTTCGTAGGTCCGCTGATTCCTTGCCTAATAAACAAATACCATAAACGAACTGTATCCCGGATTGGTAAACTATCCCACAAATGGTTTGGATGATACCCAGAACACGTCGTTAAGTTCTCTTTTATGGTTA